CTCTCACAGAGTGGGTCTCCTCAGGGTGCCGTCGGCCAGGCAGTGTCGGCTGGCGACCCCAAGGGGGAGGGCCTTCTCTGTGGGAGCTCCCACCCTCTGGAACGAACTGCCCCCAGAGATCAGGGTGATCCCTGATCTCCCTTCCTTCCGCCGCGCCCTCAAGACGTGGTTGTTCCAGCAAGCGGGACTGGCCTAGGGGGATTTTATAGGGGTTTTAATTACTTTTAATTGGACATATTCAAATATTTCGTTTTAATTAAATTTTTAATTAAGCATAATATGTATATATGTTAGTATTTTATCTAATTTGTCAGCCGCCCTGAGTCCGAAAGGAGAAGGGCGGGATATAAATGCAATAAATAAATAAATAAATAAATAAATTACCTGTTGGGATCATAGCCCCGTTCACCCGGCTTGCGGATCTGAGGCTGCTGGTTGAGCTTGCGGACCTGCAGAGAGAAAGACTCGCTATCTGATGTGTCCGTGTGCTCCTCATGTCGATCATGGCTGCCACTCCGACTGTTTGAACTTGACCTCACACCATCCTGAAAGCCTGGAAAGACAGCAAAGGGAAACCAAAACAAAGAAAGTTAGCCTATCTCACATGTTTTTTTCAATAGTGACTGCATTTGACATTATGGTCAACTACAGAACAGGGGCAGGCTATTTTGTACTCTTCAGATTTTCAAAATCAACCAGTCTTAGTCAGCTCTGGTTTTGTGCAAGCTGCATAGCCTAGTCCAGTGATGGCGAACCTTTTAGAGACCGAGTGCCCCAAAACCGCCACGCCCCTGCCCTGCCTCCGCCTCTCCTGCCCGTAGGGCCACCCACTACCTCCACGGCCCACCACAGCAGATCGCCCAGGCGGCCCAGCAACATCATGGCGGTCACACCCTCTGTCCGCGCCCCACAGCATCATCTGTACGCAATGGGGCACGAGGGCAGAGTCTTGTCTCTGCTGCCCAGCTGTCATGTCCTTGGCTGCACTGCTCTGCGCAGGCTGCACCCGGGGCAATTCTCCTCCGGGGGGGCTGCTGGTGAGGGGGCCATGGGGGGTGGCGGGGCTGGGGCGATGGCGTGTGTGCCCACAGAGAAGGCTCTGAGTGCCGCCTCTGGCACCCGTGCCATAGGTTCACCACTACTGGCCTAGTCTAATCTGCTATTTGTGCCCATTTTTGGTGCCTCTTGTCTACATGGCCAAGAGGTGTAGCTTGGACCAATTTTGCCCCCGAAAAAACCCCCAGAAGTAAATAATGGTATTTGGCAAAAACTATCACAAAACACAGTCACTGAATGTGGCACACTTTCAAGTGTTAAGCGCCCAAAGTGCCATCATGTGTGACTATGGGGGTGGGTGGGTGACCGTCAAAACTTCAAATCCGGGTCATCAGTATCCCCAGGAGGGTCCATAGTAACTTCAAATTGTCATTTTCTTACAATACGTAATACTTCTTAGCAGGGCTGTGGAGTCGGAGTCGGAGGAAATTTTGGGTACCTGGAGTCGGAGTCGGAGTCGGCAAACAATGCACCGACTCCGACTCCTACTAAATTTAGATTGGAATTAAAAAAAAAAGCAAGTTTAAATGTCCCAATTCACAAAAAGTTATAATTAATGACTTCTCTACTGTAAGAATAAAGACCAAGGCATGCAGTGCCTCACGTAACCGCAAAACGAACACGTTAAGTGACTGTGAAGAAGCATGCTTTTCATGTGCATGGAATGTATAAAATACATTCGCATATTAATACAGAGGAGTCGGAGTCGGGGAGTCGGAGTCGGAAGTACAAAAAATTGAGGAGTCGGAGTCGGAACATTTATCTACCGACTCCACAGCCCTGCTTCTTAGGCAAAAAGTGGGAGAGAAATCAATTCTTTTACAGTTCTTTACATGTCTCGGCTATTGTTAGTATATCCGGATATCAATTGTTCCACAGCACCTTTCAAGCAAAAGAATTATTATTTTTCTGACATTGTAACTTTGTTTTGATTTTCAGAAAGTTGAAAGCAGTACTGTGCAACACACTGTTTTATATATATATGTATATATTTAATATTTAAATTAAATGTAACATGTCCAGTTACTAAGTTCTTCTGCTTCCGCAAAACCAATAAAGAATCTCGAGAAACTTTAAACAAATATGCCTAATTAAAGTTAGGCCATTCGTTCCACAAGATTCCTGTGTTTATTTTAAAAGCGTTTTAACTTGATTTTCCTCAAAAAAAGAGTCAGTTCACATTTAAAAATGCTAATTACTATGGTGGAATAAAAGTAAAAGAAAGCTATAAATAACAAAGCTAAAACAAAATCAAGAGGAAAAAGAAAGTATGTGAAAAAGATTTCCAACAAAGTTGAAGCCAGTTTGTTGTTGCTGTTAATTTAGAAGGCCAGATCCTGAAGTTGAATCTCAAGTACTTTGGCCACCTAACGAGAAGGAAGGACTCTCTGGAGAAGGGCCTAATGCTGGGAAAGATTGAGGGCAATAGAAGAAGGGGACGACAGAGAATGAGGTGGCCAGATGGAGTCACTGAAGCAGTAGGCGTGAGCTTAAATGGACTTCAGAAGATGGTAGAGGACAAGAAGGCCTGGAGGAATGTTGTCCATGGGGTCGCGATGGGTCGTACACGACTTTGCAATTAACAACAACAACAAACTTTGTTGGAAATCTAGAACAAGACAAGTTCCTTAGAAAGAAGCTAAAGATGAAAAGCCATTATGGCCATTAATGTAGTGGAATGAAGCCTGGATTCGCAGGAGGAAACGATTGCATTCCAGAGGGCAAAGGGACAGCAAAGTTTAGATAGTTTGGTTGTAAGAAAGCTCTTCCCCAGCAACTCCCAGAGTACATCTTTCGTGTTCCAAGTTCAGGTAGTGCTCAGCTTACAGCCACAACCGAGACAGTTGTTAAGTGAGTTTTGCCCCATTTTACGATCTTTCTTGCCACAACTGTTCAGTTTTTAAGTTAGTAACATGATTGTTAAGTGAATCTGGCTTCCCCATTAAGTTTGCTTGTCAGGAACACTGCGACCATCACAAATAGGAACTAGTTGCCAAGCACCTGAATTTTGATCCTGTGTCCATGAGGATGCTGCAATGGTTGTGTGAAAAGTGGTCATAAGTCACTTTTTTCAGTGCCCTTGTAACTTGGAATGGTCACTAAACAAATGGTTGTAAGTCAAGGAATACTTGTAGTTCAGCAAGATTTCTGTGGGTAGGTAAGTAATGAGTCACCTTATAGGAAGAGGGACGGCATAATAATTTAATTAAATAAATAAAACAATAAAGAGAAGTAGCTCAAAAGCAACTCTACGTGTTTTTCTTGGTTCTTGGGGTTCTTGGTTCTTTTAAAGAATTATAAATTCTTTAAAAAGTACTGATGGATACTTTGCTACGTGGGGGGGGGGGAACTAGATGGTCCAAACAGGTCAGTTTTTACCCTTATGCATACCATATGCCCTTTCGAAGGAGAATAATAGAAGATGACATCCACATATCACAAACAACATTAGGTAGACTTGTCTTACTTATAGGTGAGAAGAACTATAGTAAGCCATCACATTCGACTCTCTTCTGGACTACCTGTTGGCTAATTTGCAAGGCAAGGCTAGAGCCAGTTTGGTGTAGTAGTTAAGGCACCAGGCTAGAAACTGAGAGTGTGAGTTCTAATCCCACCTTAGGGACGAAGTCATCTGGGTGACCTTGAGCCAATCACTGTGTCTTAGACTTAGAAAGGATGCAAGGGCAAACTACTGCCAAAATCTCACCCAAAAAACCTGCAGGGACTAGTCAAGGCAGTTGCCAAGAGTCATGACTAATTTGAAGGCACCAACAAAAAAAGGATGGTAAAAGTTTAATTAAAAGAGCCTTCAAGCATTAATCGGATAGCTATAGATAGCAAGAAACTCCATATTGATAAAGACTATAGTATCTAGCTTGCAAAATTTCATATAGCGAGGAGATGGCAACAAAGAGCTGAAATTTTTCTGTATCTCTTCTGCCCCTAGTGATTGTCTGCAGTTTTACAGCACTGATCTGATGCCTTGTGTATAGATGGGCAAAGTAGGAGAAAGTCTCCGACAGCAAAAAATCAGGAGGAGCTAGTAGCACCTTTTCCAACTAACATATAACATTTTTTTATTAAAAGCCATAAGCTCTTGTGAACTGGAACTTACTTTGTCAGATGCACAGATGCATCTGATGAAAAGTTGCAGTTCATAAAAACATATATCTTTTATGGTAATAAATTTTCATACAGATGAGCAAGTAAGTTGTGATACCATGAAAAAGAAGTAAACTAATAGAAAATGGAAATACTCTCAACACCTAGATTGCAAATGGAAAACTTGGCTGCAGGAACTACAATTATAGAGAAAGCAGTCAGCCAAGATTGCTTCTAAATAATAACTCAGCTCTTTCAGATCACTGGAGTTGTTTTTTTTAATTCAAGCACTGCCATGTTCTCCTTTAATCAGGATGCCCATTTTGAGAAATCAAGCAAACTCTGACAATCTTGATGTATGCAGATCGACTCATCAAAGAAATGTAAACTCTTTTTCAGCAAAGACATGTAAAATAATAAATTCAGGTGTATGACAGGGATACTTCTTATGAGGAAAATGTGATAATAAAGTCTCCTATAAGTTGTGTTCAACTCCTAGAGCAGGATTTTTTAAACCCAGATCTTCTAAGAGTGTTAAAAAAGAAAAGTTCATCATTATTAGAGTTTTTTGCCTCCTTTTTTCTTTTTTGTGATCTAACTGCTTCTGCAGCCTGAAAAATTTTGAAAATCCTCGTCTTAGACATTTCAAGGACTAACCCATCATTTGGGGATGGGGGTAATAATTTAGAAATGGTTATCTTGTTTTCTTTTGTTTTGTTTTTTGGGTGACTACCCAGTCTAGCTTTCAGTTATGAGATTTCCTAGTGGCCTCCCCTCCTTGTGCAAGCTACACCTGACCTTGCTTAACTTTGTGGGCTTGACTTAAGCTAGTCTGGCGCTATTCCCTGTAATACAGGACTATCAAAAGCTCCTAATCGCGATGGCATTATATCAGACCATGCTGAGCAATGTGTCCTTCTGAATCCTTCTAAATATATCTGTTGACTAGTTGTGGCTCTGAATTGTGGAAATACTCCTGCATCTTTACACCTCTTCCAAATTCCTCCGATTGGCTTCAATGCCCTTGTTAGCTACTGTGACCTAAAAAGCTGTTAGGCACTGGGGATGTAGCCATCTCTGGGTGGCTCTCAAACTAGAATGAATTACAAACAGCCTACAGTTCCAGCTCTCTCAAAGGGCTGAAGATCTACGTGTATTCAAATGCCTTTTAGCCAAGATATCATGTTATTTTGGCAATGACTGGCTTCTCGATGGCTACTGTCTAGCCCAGGGGTAGGCAACCTCAGCTCTTTTATGACTCATGGACTTCAACTCCCAGAATTCCCGAGTCAGCTATTCTGGGAGTTGAAGTCCATGAGTCATAAAAGAGCCAAGGTTGCCCACCCCTGGTCTAGCCTTCACTTGAACCTTGCTGGAAACTAAGCAAATATTGCATAGACCAGGGTGTGTCAATCTCGCAACGTCACGTGACGTGTCGCGATGTATCGCAACTTTTTTTCCATTGCCGGCAATGGGGTGGGCGTGGTTTCGGCACGACGCATCCGGCCCCGCGGGCGGGCAGTTTGACACCCCTGGCACAGACTGTTTTTCCTTTGAAAAATATTTGTGGTTTTATATTACCGGAATTGTCACTTTATAGAGTTTATCTATTTTGAATTGCCCTGGAATGACACTGCTGCGAAAAGCTGCCCAAAAACATGTTCTTGGCACCGTCTGAATTGAATGTGATGCACTTGCTAGACTCTAGTGTACTACAGAAAAGAGATTATTATGATCATCAGTTAAAGGACACACGCCTACTTTCCCTGTTTCTGTTATGTGTTTGGAAGCTGCCAGACAAAAGTTTTGCTCCCAGCCAGCTGCCCATTTAATGCCCTGCAGGGTTATTTCAGTACTTGTAGCACACAATTCATAACCCTCCAAAAGCTTTTGTCATCCTACTCCCGATGGTGAAGGCTTAGCTTTTTTCAAAGTGTTCTGCCCAGTAACCATTTACATTCCCCCACTCTTTCTCCTCATTTCAAAGGCATTGGTCTCCTTTGTAAAATGTCCTTGGTTACTTTATCCAACTACATAAGAGGCTCCAGAGTTTCTCTTTTGCTCCCTCTTCCAAAGATGCTAAAGTCAACAAAATCTACCAGGCAGCCTGGATCACTCCTGCTATTATTAAATATACTCAGATCAGAAATGATTGTATTATATTGTTATGAATAGTTAAGTGATTTTTTTTTTATTGATGCCCCACACATGTCTGTCGTTAGAAAGTCCTATCTCTGAAAAAAAAATAGTTACCGCAATATCTGACTCAGGAATGAAAACTTAGACCCACATATGCATCACCATCAAGCATCATGAGGAACAATATGGAACATGCTTGTGCGATTGGCCACCCACCACACTAAACACAGAACACTTGTCATGCACGACAGGCCATGAACGACTCAACACACCTCTTAAATTCTGTAACCCCATCTGCTTTCCTTCTTGCCACTTGGGAGATAGATCCCACTTAGCTTGGCAGGGAATTGCAGCTTACACACGCGTCACATGAAATCTAGAAACTGCAATCCTAAACAAAATTCCATGCAACAGACACATTGTGCAGCAGGATTCAGGCTTGCTGCCCACATAAAAATCCTGGATTTATGACAACCCATCCAGTACAACTGCCATTCTTATGATTGCTATATTGTTCATTACATTTTTATCTCACCCCATTTTCAAGGTACGTTTGAGTACTTCTCTCATCACCCGTGCTGTCAGAAGCACAAAAACTCTATGAAATATGTCTACTTCAAATGCTTGGCCCAAGGTTACTTAGGGGGGTTTATGACTCCACTGACATTTGGACACAAAAGGGACATTTCTAGTACATTTTAATTACTGCACCATACCCGTTTTCTTTGATATTAATTCTCCTCTCTTCTAAAATTAAAAGCTTTATAGAGAGAGGTTGGGAGATATTTAATAAAAAAATATAACTAGGAAGAAAATAAAATTAAACAGGAAAAGTAGAATATAATGAATGTGTATGGTCCCCCATATATATATTTTAGAGGTAAGTGCTGTTTCCCATGTCTGAAATATATTTCTTCCCCTCAGTTTTGGGAAAGAGGTTGAACCTAACAATGAGATAAATAGTAGTTCTAACAAGCAGTTTTAAGTGGGGAAAAAAGAGAGTGATATAATACTCACTGCATTGCAGATATTAGGGCAAAGAAATCTAGCTTTACAAAGAAACTGTTATCTTTCAAGCATGGCTTAGAAGGCAAAAAAAAAAAAAAAGCCATTCTGCAAAAATTTAGGAAGATGGCCTGGATTTCTTTTGACTGAGATTAAAAGAGGAAAGGAGAAGCCAGGGGATTGCTGCTTTTTCTAAAATGCTCAAGAGGTGGATTCTCTTAATTTTGTCACCAAGAAGGGTTAGCTGCTTCAAGAAAAAGTTGACGTTTTATGTGCAATTGCACTGGACACACTGCTGCTTCCCTTAGTTAAATTTGGGCCACCTTTCTTTTTTGGAGCCACTTAGAAAATGAGCCTTAGCTTCAGATTTTCCAGAAGACAAAACAGAAGAGAGAACATCAAGTGCTTTTCTAAACATTTTCGGGAAAGCTTTGTTGCCTACAAAGAATTTCTCTCCATATCACCCCAAAAGGAGGAAATGGAAAGGTCACACTTCTCTCCCCCGCCCCCGCCCCCCACTAACCAATGCTTCAAGAAGAGCGCCCCGGTGGGTGCCTATGGATGACCACCAGATAAACGGGCAACCCCTTTCCAAAACGTTATGGGATATCCGAGGGGGAGGAAGGGATGGGGATAATCCAGGTGCCAAGGACAGTCCTGCATAGTCTCCTAAGGAGGAAGGGGAGCTAGGAAGATGATCCAGATGTTTCTTGGAGGGGTAGAGGTGCCCCGCCCCCCTCCCGATCCCCCCTCTCACCCTGCCGCTTCCGCTCGCGTTTGTCCTGCAGCTGCTTCTTCTTCTGCTTAGCGCTGAACGGCCTCTTGCGGGGCATGTCCTGTCCCGGCTGCCGTCCCCTCCTCTTTCCGCTCCTCCAACAGCACCGAACTCGCAGTCCCGGAGTGGGGGGGGGAGGGGAGGAGCTAAGAGAAAATTACTCCTTCGGCGGGGAGAAAAGGATCCAATGAGCTCGGAGGAAGGGAGTGGAAGCACAGTGGAAGGGGCGGAGCCGGCTCGAACTAAAGAATGAGAGATCGTGACGTGAGAGGAGGAAAACAGCTCGCTGGAGGACGGGGGGGGTGATTGGGGCAAACCATTAAGGGCGAGCGAAAAGGGGGGGAAAGAGGTGGGAATGTGACGTGTTTGGAAAAGAATTGACAGCAACGATTGTGGATTGTACCATCGAAGGCAGCAAAGCCTGGAGTTCATCATTCCTCCCCCCCCTCCGCGGAATGTACCATTCTAATCGGGGGGAAGGGCTAAACCAAATTGTACCTTTCCGTTTATTCTATTCGTGGGTTGTTAGAGGGCCGGGAATACCTTCGAGAATGACGTAGAAAGGCATAAAAAACTCATTACGGCCACGTTAATGACTGAAAAGGGCGGGAGGGGGAGATCGTCCTAGTTGGCAATGCTTTTTTTCTTTTCTTTTTTAATAAGGAGCAAGAAAATTTGGAAAAAGTGCGTGTAAAGTGTAGATTATTTCAGAAATCCTTATCAGGCAGAATAGTGCTGTCCTTGATCAATAGGAAATAAAAGAATAGGCTCTCCATCTTTATTGCACATTCATCTAGCTTTGATATATCCATTTCTACAAGTCAAGTTATAACAGGAGAAAAAGCTCGTTTTTTCCTTGAGAATACCTACATTTTTACAGGCAGGCGGTTATTATATTTATCATTTATTGTAAAAGACCTAAAGGTTTGTGTGACTTGCCCATGTTTCACCTAGACCAGTGTTTTGTTTTTTTTCACCATGAAAATTTAAAGAATCTTGGACGTCAATCTCCAGAATTACCAAGTTAGGCTGAAAAGTCGACAAATATTGATCTAGTCTACCTAGACTATTCTGAATCTCATTTGCTTTTTCTAACAGGCTGAGAACTTCTGAATGATGTTACTACAATATAGGAATGGGCTCAGGATTGATTCAGCCTAAGGCCAATCGTTTGATGGAATTTAATTATTAATATTTTTTAAAAGCATATATTGGTATTTTAAAAATACGTCAACATTATACATACATTCAACGTTATAAATAGATTAATTATCATAATAAAATTATAAACAGAACTCTGAAAGATTTTAACATATGGCTCCTTTATTTTAAAAAAAGGAAATCAATGACCCACAAACCATATGAATAATCCACTACTGCAATTCATATACACATTTTTCTTTCCAATATTAAATAGTAATTTTTAAGAGGATTAGGATCAGAAAAATATACTTATTAATATCTTGATCAACTGATTCCAAATGCCAGCCAAGGGCAGTATCTTTAACACACAGGAGTTCATCCAAAGCCATATTAGCCATCTTTTGAGCTTCAAAGAAAAGTAAACAATTGCAATTTTTTTTAGTATAAACAATTACCAGATTCCAGTTTGTTTGCTTAATATTTTTACCTCCTTTTAATGTACAAACAATTCTAGAGACAGGTAATAAAAAAGTAACTTACAACAGTCCTCACATTTATGACCATCACAGCATCCTCATGGTCACATGAACAAAATTTGGGCACTTGGCAACCTACATGTATTTATGATAGTTACAGCACGCCAGGGTCATGTGAATCACCTTTGCAGCCAGCTTCTTACAACAAAGTCAAAGGGAGAAGTAGGATTTGCTTAATGACCACATGATTCATTTAACAACTACAGCAATTCACTTAGCTGTGGCAAAAAGGTTGCAAAATGAGGCACAAATCACTTAACAATTGCCTTGCTTAGCAATGGAAATTCTGATCTCAATTGTGGTCATAAGTCGAGGATTACTTATATAACAAAAACAAAAACTGCATGGTGAGAGTAATTGGTCCAAATTCACCCCATATAGTCATGAAGACTACACTATATGCAATAGCAATGATAGAATAGAATAAGTTGGAAGGGACCTTGGAGGTCTTCTAGTCCAACCCACTGCTCAGGCAGGAAAACCCTATACCAGGGGTGTCAAACTGCTGGCCCGCGGGCTGGACGCGTCACAGGGACGCCGCGCCCACCCCATTGCCGGCAATGGCAAAACAGTCCCAATACGTCGCGTGAGGTCGCGAGTTTGACATGTCTGCCCTATACCATTTCAGACAAATGGTTGTCCAATCTCTTCTTACAAACTTCCAGTGTTGGAGCATTCACAACTTCTGGAGGCAGGTTGTTCTACTGATTAATTGTTCTCATTATCAGGAAATTTCTCCTTAGTTCTAGGTTGCTTCTCTTCTTGATTAATTTCCATCCGTTGCTTCTTGTCCTGCCTTCAGGTGCTTTGGAGAATAGCTTGACTCCCTCTTCTTTGTGGCAGCCCCTGAGATATTGGAACATTGCTATCATGTCACCCCTCGTCCTTCTTTTCATTAAACCCTAGTCCTTCTTTTCATTAAAAGAAGATGAAATGGTCAGTAAGAGACTACAATGCACTACTGAGGAAATGGCCTTAGTTTATTGAAATGTAAGAAGACTCCCATCCTGAAGTCCAAAGAAAACCTACATCTGTTTACCAACTAGAAGACCTCCTACTATTTGCTGCTCTTCGACTATCTCTAAAATGACTTGGTTGCGCTCTATGCTTGGCCTTTCTAGGAAGTGTCTCGATCTCTATCATACAACCCGCTCTACACTTATAGGGCGAGACTAGTCGCTCCTCCTAGCGTGGCCGCTCTCGCGCAGGCGCAATAGAAAGGAGGCGTGCATGTGGGAAGCCTCTTTTTCCGGGCTTCGGAGGCGCAGGAGCTGAGTGGCGGCGGTGGGAGAAAACCGGAGGGCTGAGCCATGCCTAAAGGGGGAAAGCAACACCACGCCCAGGAGGAATGGATCGGGGACGGGGAGGAGAAGACATGCCCCGTGCAAGGAGCTGGAGGTGCGATTGGGGTGGCCGGGTTGGAGGGGGGGATTCAACAGGGATAACCTGGAAGAAAAGCTCAGTGCTGGGAGACTTTGCAGAGGCCTCTCTCGGAAGTTGGGGTGGAAGGGTTTGAAAATTTGGGAAAACAAAAAGTAGGGAGAATAATCCCCCTCCCTGCTTTATAAATAAGTTTGTAGCCATAATACCAAAAAAATCTGAAATAAATAGCCGCCTTTCGAATAATTGTACATTTATTCAGAAGTAAGTTCATACCTAAGTATGGGCAGTAAGTTCTAGTGTAAGTAGCATTTTTTTAAAAAAAGAATGTTATTGGATTTTATAGGGCTAGGAATAAGATGGGGTCGGGAATGGGGTTAGGGTTTAAGCTGGGGTTGGGGTAAGGTTTGGGATTAGGACAGGGTTAGGGTCAACACTGGGGTTATCCCCCAATAATATTTTCCATATTTTGAAAACAGAATATTGTCTGGGTACATATGTATAGTTAACAATAATTAATGTAGTAATAGATAAGTGTAATTGGTTGTCATAAACAATATTAATTAATCAATCCATAACATCCTTCTTATTAGTATGTATTCAAAATAACATATCAAATTCCTTTCTCAGGTAGCATTCCTAATATAGATGGAGGGTTATAACGAAGGAGAAACTTAAGTAAACCTAAGTATGAATGTATTTGATTGCGTTTAGCCTCATGACATTTTTCTTCTCTCCATATGTCTAAATCAGCCCCCTCCCTTCCTCCTTTTCACTTATCTAATTCAGTTTTCTCTAGCATGTGTCTTGGAATACAGGTAATCCTCAACTTGCAACCACAATTAAGCCTGAAATTTCTGTTGTGTTAAGTGAATTTTGCCTCATTTTACAACCTTTCTTGCCCCAATTGTTAAGTGAATCTCTACAGTTAAGTTAGTGACACAGTTGTTAAGTGAATGTGACTTCCTCATTGACTTTGTCAGAAGATTGCAAAAAGTGATCACCTAACCTTGGGACATAGTGGTTATAAATATGAACCAGTTGCCAAGTGTCCGAATTTTGATCATATGATCTCAGGGACTCTAGAGTGGTCATAAGTGTCCAAGCCACATTGGTTGATATGGCGAGTTTTAGTCAAGGGTGGGAAGAGGTGATGTGAATGTAGGTAGACAAGGTCCCATGACTATTTTTAGAGTGCTCCTGACCTGTGAGATGAGACTAAGTACACCTTTTGCCATTGCACATTTACATTTTATCCAAAAAAAGATACTGAAGGGGCTAAAACTGAGTAGTATGTGTTGTTATATTGGAAATGCACCTGCAGTGACTGTGGCCTATAACAAACTAGGATAACTGCTTCAGAAAAGGCCAATACACATTGCATGATGTTCAATTGAACAATTTGTTATTTAACTGATATTTAATTCAACTTCTCATTTCCTAAGAAAAAGTAAGGAGGCAAACATTATTTTGGCCAGGCTGATAAATATTCTGGATAAATATTGCAGTCCACCTAACCCAAAAGATATATTTGTTCATCAGTGTGGCTATATAATAACATATTGAGATTTTGTGTTACGTTGTAGAGAGAGTGCTTCACATGCTCATTTTGGGTTGGTACGATTAATTCCGGTTGGAATTAATCCCAGTTAGATGGACTGAGAAAGCAGCTTGTAGCACTCTTTGTTCATAGTAGTTGGAGAGACACTTGCTGACTTGTAGCATCTTTCATCAGTTATGCTAACATCTTTCATATGTTTTTTTATCTCCTATCATTCTCATTCCCACTTGGGAGGGCTGCATGTGCCTATCCCAAGTGATATATATTTATAATGAGAGGATGAGAACTTCCAGAGGGCAGAGTAGGTGAACCAAACTGGATTATTTCCTACTTGAGAATTGCAGGTTTTCTGCTGAAGCCCCAAATACTTGAAATTTAGGCTATGGCCATCCTAGAGATCCATAAATCTCCTTGGGTTTGGTTCCACAGAGCCTAAATTTCCATCTTTCCTCTCCTATTCTCTTCTTGCTAAATACATAGTTCCTCCTGATCCCAATTCTTATGTAAGATATCTTTCTCAATCTTCTTTCTGCCCTCTGGGTTATCTCCCATGTCACGTTGACGTTAAATTTCTTCCATATGTACCCACAACTTCCCTAGAATCTCAGTTGTTACCTTTCTCTGGCTTTCCTTCATTTAGTCATCTCTGTAAACCTGGATCCCTTTTTCTAGCATAGTATACAAAATTATTTCCTCATACTTAGCAATGTACAAATGTCATCATCCTTAGCATGGCTGATAGGAGTTGTAGTTCAATGCATTTGGGAGATACTAAATGAGAGAGGTTGCTATGATTGTTTCCTGCTTTTAAGAAAGGGAAAGAGTCCTCGGCAAGATCTGAAGTGTCACCTCCATTGATTCAGCATTTTTAATACAAACCAGAAACCTGTTTACTGAACAACTCCCAAAAATTTCTCACATTATAGCTGTCATTGGACTTCAGCAACTTCTGGAGATTCAGCAGATTCCCTGGAGAGCTATGCCAGTTTTGTGTGGCCCAATGAAATGTTTGTTAATTTCATCTTGAGCTCCTGTTGTGATGGCCTAATACTGCCCTGGAAATTTGTCAGCTCCAAATTACAAATACACAGACATTTGGCTCGGAACAGAGCTGGCAATTATATTTATTTTCCAACTGGGCTCCTGATGATTTAACAGCTGTCAGTGCCCTAATCTTTTTCCTAAGTCTGGGATGGAAAAAAAAAGTTTCAACCCTTCTGCATGCAGCTTTTAAAAGATCCTGGAAGCAAATACATATAGACTGTCTTCTACTTGCAAATTTTTGAGTTACAAACTTTTGCCGATATAAACAAACCTGTCTGTAGCTTCAGCTTAAAAGTCCTGGAAGATGGGATATAGTTTACAGTGCGCCTCATACATACGCTTGACAGCCCCATTGCATCCTGGGTGAGCATATACCATTTTGGACACTATCCTGTCTGTTCGCCAATCTTGTGTTTAGTTTTCAGTGTTTAGTTTGCACTGTTCTTCCCTTGGTGACTATGATTTACAGTATATCTAGAATTACGTGTAAGAATGATAATTTGGGGGGGGGTAGTAAGAGGCGTCAATCCATCACAATGGAAACAAAAATGGAGAAACTTGCCATATCAGTTCCAGAAAATGGACCTAAGCCATCACCATCAGGTATTCTGACTCACACTCCAGTTATGTAAATTGAGAACCCTGTTCTAGATTAACCATTAAACAAAATAAGCAGGTGCTTAGGGCACCAAAGGAAGAGCGCATTCACAAAGGCTTGGCGAGCCAATTTGTTGTTGTGTTGAATGTGCCAGCTTAGAAACTAGAACACTAGACCTCCCTTAGGCTTGAAAGCCAGCTGAGTGACTTTGGACAGTCACTTTCTGTAAGTTGAACTCATCTCACAATATTGTTGTGGGGGAAAATAAGAGGCAAGAGTATTAGATAAGTTGGCCACCTTGAGTTATGGGACAAGAGATGGGCTAAGAATCTAATACTCTAGTAATACTTTAGGCGCTTAGATGACTTTGAAATGAGTCGTAAACTATAGGTAGTCTTCATCTTACAACCATTCATTTAGTGACCATTTGAAGTTGCAACATCATTGAAAAAAGCGACTTATGGCTGGTTTTCTCTTACGGCCATTGCAACATCCCCATGATCATGTGACCAAAATTCAGATGCTGGTCAGTCAGCTTGTATTTGTGACAGTTGCAGTATCCCGAGGCTATGTGATCACATTTTGTGACCTGACCAGCAGAGTCAACGGGGAAGCCACATTCACTTAACTGTGTTACTAACTTAACAATTGCAATGATTCACTTAACAACTGTGGCAAGAAAGGTTGTAAAATGGAGCAAAATTCACTTAACTGTCTTGCTTAGCCACTGAAACGTCAGACTCAATTTTAGTCCTAAATCAAAGGCTACCTGTATGTTGGTTTGGCTTTTTTTTTAAGTATTATATTTGGTTTGGATGCTTAGGGCAGTATTTGTGAAAATCCCCCTAATTTTATACACATGACGACAATTCTGGGCGGCACAGTAATTGTGATTGATGCAACATCTCTTAGGTTCCATGGTTCCTTTCAACTCTGATTCAAATAAAGCAGGGGTCTTCAAACTTGACCCTTTTATGACTTGCTGGCTGAGGAATTCTGGGAGTTGAAGTCCACAAGTCATAAAAGGGCCAAGTATGAAGACCCCTGAAATAAAGACTTCAGCCTGCAGATCCCATCCAATACTTTAATCTTTATATCACACCAGCTCATACTTCGCCAAGCAGGAGAAATGGTTTTCAGTTTGCCAGTGACTCCCATCTTCCTGTTCTCATTCTGTTTTGGTTGGACAGAGAACCAAATGGTGCAAATCCTGGAGCTTCTTCAGAACAATGGTACTTTGCAACTCTTGCTTTGATTTTATTTTTGTTTCTTTCTTTCTTTCAGACAAATTAGTAAAGAAGGGAAAAAAGGATAAAAAGACGAAAAAATCGGTAAGTTTTGGTCTTGTTGCTTAAAAGTTTTACCACAGTCAAGAGAAACTAGCTTTTCTCATTAGCAATAACACTTAGACATATATGCCGCTTCATAATGCTTTACAGTCTTCTCTAAGTAGTTTACAGAGTCAGCATATTGCCCCCAAAAATCCAGGTCCTTATTTTACCAATCTTGGAAAGATGGAAGGGTGTTTCGTAGTCTTTAGGGTTTCTGGAAGTAATAATTTGTGGAACAAAAATCAAGCCCTTGCCTTAAAATGTTTCTCTGTATCCCTTAAGACAGTGTTTCTCAACCTTGGCAACTTTACAATGTGTGGACTTCAGCTGCTAGCTGGAGAATTTTGGGAGTTGAAGTCCACACATCGTAAAGTTGCCAAGGTTGAGAAACACTGCCTTAAGAAGTACCCTTTGCACAGTTCTTTAAATACAGGTCTGAGTGTCTTGATAGAAGTTGGGGTAAAAGCTCTTTGTGCGTGGTTTTGTCCAAATTGAACCCTGAACTTTGATTCCTGTAATTCCAGTAAGACACAAAAAAGACACAGGGACGGGGCCCGAAACAAATTATTTTGCAATTGTTAAGAGCTGCCTAGGATCAGCTAGGCATCAGCGTGTGAGACAGAAGGCCATCTACATGCTTTAAATAAATTACATCATCCTTTTGGTAGGTTAAGGAGCGTTATCCACATTACTCACTGCAGTATTCCTTTTTACATTTCTTTTCTAAGCCCAGAATGAGCACAGTCAAAATATGTGCAAATGGGGCCGCTAGCACGCGTGGGTTGTGCAGCCCATTTGCGCATGCACATGGCACTAGCAGAGGCAGTGGCTAGCGCACGCTCATACGCAAACGGGCTGCTAGCCCTGTGTAGGTTGCACGGGCCGTTTGCGCATGCGTGCAGGGCTAGCAGAGGCGGCAGCTAGCCCCTCTGCACATGCGTGAATGGGGTTGCTAGCGCTGCGCAAATGCACACGGTCCCATTTGCACGCAGCCCTGTTCACACGTGTGTGTGTGTGCAAATTTCCCACCTGCTCCCTTTCCCTCCAGGCCGCCAGCATGAAAAGGTTGGTGACCTCTGTTTTAACTTATCCCCCAAGGCACCTAAACATTGTTCCATCCATCCTAACCTCATGGCATCGGCCAAATGTCATCCTCCCGTAATTCCTGAAAGTTCCTGCACCCATCTCCTTACGGCTCCCAAGTGCCAGAAAGTAACACACCCTTGCAGTAGGAGTGGCAGGGTTAGAAATATCTTATTGCTCTGTGGTCATCTTTCTGCCACTGATTCCCCCAAATTTCTTTCCTGTGCCCCAAGTTCTTCGAGGAACTGGCTGTGGAAGAGAAACACTCCAGCGAGAATCAGACCGCAGAGAAAGAAAAGAAGGAACAGCAACAGGCAGGTCATTTCCAAATCATCTCATGGGGTAGGTCAGTGATGGCGAACCTTTTAGAGACCGAGTGCCCAAACTGCAACCTAAAACCCACTTATGCATTGTTGGGTGCCGAATGGGTGTGGCCCATTGGGTGGGCGTGGCTATGGTGGTAACAGCAGACTGGGTGGGACTAAAAAGTTCAATCAATCAATTCCAACTTTGCAAGATTTTTTTTTTCCTGCGAGAAGTTGAAATTGACTGATTGATTGAACCTTTTTTTTTTTTGCACACGGCGGCGGAGGCCTAAAGCGAAAAGGTTTTATAAAACCCAGCTGAAGGCCTAGGACTGAGGCGACGGCGCATGTGCCCACCGAGAGGGCTCTGAGTGCCGCCTCTGGCACCAGTGCCATAGGTTCGCCACCACTGGGGTAGGTCCTCGTGGACCTTGTAGTCAAGTCGTTACTCTGTTGAGGGTAAGCGGGTTGCCCATCCCTTGACTGTCTCTTTTTCTGGGGGTGGGTCTTTTGCCTACAGCAGCAGCAGCAAAAGAAGCGACGAGACAAGAAAAAAGAGCAGAAGAAAAAACTGGCAGCAGAAGAAGAGGATGAGGAGGAGAGCCAGCTGATTGAGAGGTTGAAGAAGCTGTCTGCCCAAGCCAGTGATGAGGATGAAGAAGGTGGGAGGCTGCAGTTTTCATTCTGCTTTTCAGACTCCGGTTATAGGGGTCAGCCTTGACGGGTTGAGGACCTCCTACCATTTAAGCTTATAAATGGCTGAGGCCTTGGGAGATTTCAAGGCTCCCGCCTGAGATCTCACAAGGTTTCATGGACGAGTGACAAGTTCTCGCATGATTTCAGGCCAGTTTGCCGAGAAACGGATGCGTTCTTCAAGACCATCATCCTCTGCCAGTTGGGGTATGAACTGGAGTTGTAGTCCAAAGCACTTCGATTGGGGAAGAATGCTAGAGTGTGTCTTTCAGATTGTGAGCTTGATCCTGTTTACGGTCTCTCTAGGTTACAACCCAGTGTGACATTTTATTTTATTTTTGGCTTCTCTTCCAGTGCCCATTCCTGTCACCAAAGCAGGCAACAAAAAGAAAGTAAGTCCCCGGATGCTTTCAAAGAACTTCTTTGTTGGACAAGAATGAGAAGTGAAAATGGAATGAGTTACTTTCTGAAGAACAGAGTTTGGATGCAGTAAACTAACCTTTGCAACCTGTAACTGTCTAAAAAAAATCAAGTAATGGAAAGTACAAAATGTTGTTCTGCACGGCTTATGTCCTCCAGTGAACAAGGTGGTGCCTGGGTGAACCCCGTCTAGTAGCAGATATTTTACTTCTAGGACACATCAGTTTATATAGCCCCTGAAGCTGTTGCTGGGGAAAGGAGTTAGAAGGAATTATGATATATAGTCAGAATAAACATAAATTGGGATGGGTATAATTAATTAAGGAGATGCGTATAATAATTAAACGTGACTTCTAGATGTTGCTGAACTTCCACCCCAGCTGGCTGACATTCAATTCCTCATTTAAAGAAAAAGTAATCAGATTAGTGGGCTTGCTTCCTATGTAATAGTAATAATTTGGGAGGAAATTAATACAGTTTGAAAATTATTAAGTCATGTAATTCATTAAGATCACGATGTCATTGGCGGTTGTGAGCCATTTAATGATCAGGAGTTTGTTGTGTCTTTAGGCAAAGAAAAGTGTTTCAGATCATATTCCTAACCCAGGGGTAGGCAACCCAAAACACTCAAAGAGCCACTTGGACCCGTTTCCCACCGAAAACAAAACACTGGGAGCCGCAAAACCCTTTTGATATCTAAAATGAAGATAACACTGCATATATTCTTTTTTACCACTATCTTTTTTACTTACACACACACACACACATATCATAAAGATAAAAAAGGATATATGCAGTGTTATCTTCATTTTAGATGTCAAAAGGGTCTCTCTCTGTCTCTCTCTCCCCCCTCTCTCCCTCTCCCTCTCCCTCTTTCTGCCCTTGGTCTGCCAGTCCTCTTCCCCCCCCCTCTCTCTCTCCTCTTTCCTTCTCTCTCTTTTTCTTTCTCTCTCCCTCTTTCTCTCTTTCCTCTTCCTCTCTCTCTCTTTTTCCTCTCCCTCTTTCTATTTTTCTCTTTCCTCTCTCTCTCCGATCTTCTGCTCACCTGGCAAGCTGGCTTCAAGCTGTTCTCCAACAAGCTCAGGGGTAGGCAACCTCGGCTCTTTTTTGACTCATGGACTTCAACTCCCAGAATTCCTGAGTCAGCATAGCTGGGCTAGCTAGCTCTCTCCTCCCCTTCCTGCTTCCTGCTTCCTGCAGAGACGCAGCCAAAGGAGAAGCCCCGCCCAGTAAGCTTTTCAGCTCCTCGGAGAACACCGTGAGTCCACTCTCTTTTTTACTTACAGAGACAGAGAGAGAGACAGAGAGAGAGAAGGGAAGTGCAAGTGCCTCTCTCTGTCTCTGTCTCTCTCTGCAAATGGCAGAGGAGGCTGGGAGCCGCAGGGGAAGGCTCAAAGAGCCACATGCGGCTCCGGAGCCGCAGGTTGCCGACCTGTGTCCTAACCCAATACCTAGACAGCCACTAATGGAGTCTGTTCAAATTATGTTCCTTGATAGTATTCCATGAGAGACTAAGGGGAATAAAAGGGGGGGAAGGAAAATTCAACCAATTTTCTGTTGCCTAGACTATTGTATCTTGATCAGATTCTGTGACCTGAAAAAAAAGATTGGGGCTAGTTTACTCTGGTGCCTAGATGAGGCGGTTCTGTTACCTGCTTCTTTTCTAGACATTCTTCTCTCAGGTTTTCTCTCTCCTTGTCTCCTTCAGGGAGGAAATGTGTTTGCTGCCTTGAACCAGGAACAGAGTGAAGAGGAGGAGGAGGAGGAAGAAGAAGAAGAGGAAGAAAAAATATCAAAGCCCATCAAACTTGACAGGAATAAGAGCAACAAGGTGAGCTGCATTCGGGAATAATCTTATCGGGAGTGATCTGCCGGTTAAGTTTCCAGATTCGGGGTGGGCAGCCTTATTTCATGTGGCCTTTAGCTGAATTGTAAAAATATTGGAAGCAGTCCTGTCTGCCTCACCCTGCTATGTGAGGAAAGGATCAGAAAAAGAAAAGAGTGGGTCAAAAAATTAACAATTACCTGGCGGAAAATACCATGGCAGCTCCATCTGCGATTGCTATGCCGTTGTCCTAGGCCAGGGGTAGGCAACCTTGGCTGTTTTATGACTCGTGGACTTCAACTCCCAGAATTCCTGAGCCAGCCATGCTGAGGGGAAAGGAAGAGGTTTCCAAGCTGAGCCATGCTGGCTCAGGAATTCTGGGAGTTGAAGTCCACGAGTCATAAAAGAGCCAAGGTTGCTTACCCCTATCCTAGGAGTTACTCTTGAGGTGATGCAGGCTTCAATAGTACATGTTGTTCTCCCCCCCCCCTCCCCAATGGGGACACTTGAAAGGAATAAGAACAACCAGGTATAACGGGTGGGGTGGGTCATGCCACATGGCCACAGAAAAAATATTTGTATGCTTGCTGATTTTGAAGAATTCTGGATGTAGCCTGGACTCGGTTTGAAGTTTGAATAGCATAGTTCACAAAGCTTAACAGGGTCAGTAAGAGTTCTGCATGCTTTCTGGCTTTAGTCCGATAGAGTGGAAGGAAGGGATAATTTTAACTCAAAATTTTGCCAGAGCAGTTATAAATCAGGCTACCTTCCTTGGTTAACCAGCCTTGTTAAAATCCCAAATCCATCATCAACTATAGCAATGAGATGGAGATGCAGATTAGCAGGAACTGCATGTTGTTCTATTCCAGCCAGCAATGCAGAAGACGCAACATTGATTGGCTGCATTATGCAAGCCCCAGCACTGCGCTCTACCTGGCCAAATAGCAAAGAGGCCATTGATGTAATGCATCCCATGCTAGATTGGAAGAAGGGGGGGGGGCTTTATTCCCCCAAATGGTGGTCTTTGCCCCTAATTAGTAGGATTGTATGTTGCCAGATCTAAAAGTAAATGGGAGTGGTCTGTGAGCCCAGCTGATAACTCAACCCATGTTTCCATTGTTTTTCTTGATTTAAAGCTAGTGTAGCTTTTTTTAATGCTTGGGGAAAGTGGGAAGGCTGAGGGCTACAGTGAGTGATCAGAGTTTCCTTCTGCTGATGAGGGCTCCTTTGAGCACAGCAGGAATAAACAGGAAGTCCTCAGCTTACAACCATTGGTTTAGTGACTATTCTAAGTTACAACAGCACTGAAAAAGTGATATGACCATTTTTCAAATGACTGTTGCAGCAAACCCACGGTCACATCATCGAAATTCGGACACTTAGTGCAGGGGTCTTCAAACTTGGCCCTTTTATGACTTGTGGACTTCAACTCCCAGAATTCCTCAGCCAGCGTTGCTGGCTGAGGAATTCTGGGAGTTGAAGTCCACAAGTCATAAAAGGGCCAAGTTTGAAGACCCCTGACTTAGTGGCTCATATTTATGATGGTTGCAATGTCTCAGGATCATGTGATCCCCTTTTGTGACCTTCTGGCAAGCAAAGTCACTGAGGAAGCCAGATTCACTTAACAACAGGGTTAGTAACTTAACAGCCGTAGTGATTCACTTAACAATTGTGGCAAAAAAAAAATCATAAAATGGGACAAAACTCACTTAACACTCAACCACAGAAATTATCGTTAAGTCGAGAAGGCTGTTTAATTTTGTCACCAGTCTGGGGGTTTTTTTGGTCTCGTCTGTTTCTTGAAAGCATTTACTTTAAAGTCTCATTTTATGAAAAGGACAGAACGGTTGTCAGTGGAGCTGGGGTGTGTTTTTCCAAATTCCTAGGCAGTGATAATAAAAGTTTGATTGGCCCTGGCTCTTTCCCAACAATCAAAATAAATTCTGTTTCCTAATAGAAGGCATTGCAGATATCTAGGTATCCTGATGGTCAGATTCCTCATGGGTTTTTTCTCCCAATCTTGGAAGTTTTGCCTTCCAGATATTTTTGCTGAGCGTACAGGAAATTGTAGCGCAAATGTCAGAGAGATGACTTTCTGGCATTTTCCTAAGTAAAACCAGTACAGAAATAATCAGAATCCAACTTCATTTCTCTAGGCAGCCTCTGATGATGAAGAAACAAAGAAACCAGGGAAAAAAGGCTCTAAAACCAAACAAAAGGTCAGTCTGGACTGTCTGAAGTACAGGTAGTCTCAACTTACAACCTCGCTTCTGAGGTGAAAGCTTACTGGGATCACAGAAGACAAACAGCATTCAAAAATGCTATTCCAAAGTCCAAATGCTAATACAGGTAGATCGTGACTCGTCACGATTGTTTAATGATCAAAGTTATGATGACACTGAAAAAAAAATAATCTATGGCTGGTACTCACACTTATGACCGTTGCAGCATCCCCACCGTCACGTGATCAAAAACGGGACATTTGGCAATCGGCAAGTATCTACGATTTTTGCACTGTCCTGAGGTCATGTGATTGTCGTTTGTGTCCTTTCCAGGGGGCTTCTGACAAGCAAAGTCAGTGGGGAAAACTGGATTTGCTTAGTGACTGCATGAGTTGCTTAAAAGCCGTAGTCATAAAATCAGGCCTGGCTTGCTTAACAACTGCCTTACCTAGCAATAGAAATTCAGGTCCCAATCTAGGTCATATAATAATAATAATAATAATAATAATAATAATAATAATAATAATATAATGATAATGATGATGATGATAAAGTTGGAAGGTACCTTGGAGGTCATCTAGTCCAACCCCCTGCTCAGGCAGGAAACCCTATACCATTTCGAACAAATGGCTGTCCAGTTTCTTCTTAAAAACTTCCAGTGTTGGAGCGTTCACCATTTCTGGAGGCAGGTTGTTCCACTGGTTAATTGTTCTAACTGTCAGGAAGTTTCTCCGTAGTGCTAGGTTGCTTCTCTCCTTGATTAGTTTCCATCCGTCGCTTCTTGTCCTGCCTTCAGGCGCTTTAGAGAATAGCCTGACTCCCTCTTCTTTGTGGCAGCCCCTGAGATATTGGAACACTGCTATCATGTCCCCCCTCGTCCTTCTCTTCGTTAAACTAGATGTACCCAATTCCTGCAGTGTTGAGGACTGCCAGTAAAGGTAATACTTGGTGCAGAGAATGAGGGCTTGCAAGCATCCTGGTGGATCATTCAATCTTGAGGAAGGGTTCAAGTGAGGATTGAGCTTGGAGTCCTTACGCTGCCATAAAATGTGAGTTGCTTGCAGCACATAGGCATTACTGCGCATGTCCAAGATGGCGGACCTACTGTGGTTTGCTCCGTAGCGAGCGGAGCTGGCAAGTGAGAAATGGGGTGTTTTGGGGGCGTTTTGGTGGCCCGCTGTGACTGGATGGGTGGGTGACCCCCCGTTTCGATCCGCCATGGCCCGTTCGGCCCGTTTTCGGCCCGTTTTCGATCCGGGCCTGGCACATCCGGCTACAGTTGGGAGGACTCGGGCGGCCGGGCGGTGGAGGCCCTGGCTCCGACCCGTTTTTGGCCCGTCTTCGGCCCGTTTTCGGCCCATTTCGATCTGGGCCTGGTGCGTCCGGCTGCAGCTGGGAGGATCCGGATGGCCTGGTGGTGGAGGCCTGGGCCTCGGCCCCGCTTTCCTCCGGCCTCGTTCCCTGGCTTCCGGCCCTGGAGGGTCCAGCTCTGGTCCTGTTCCGGCTTGGAAGATCTCGGCTTGGACTTGGTATTTGGCCGTCGGAGGCTCCGGTGTGGCCTGGAAGGCCCGGAAAATCGTGGTTGTGACCATGCTTTCGGCTGGCAGAGGACCCGATACGACCAGGAAGACCTTGGCTGTGGCCCCGCTCCGGCTGGCGGAGGACTTGGCATACTCCGGTTCGAGAGCCTGGCGGGCTGGTGACTTGGTTGGAGGAGGAGTGTGATCTGGTGGCCTGGAGGTTGGATGGTGGACTTGGCTGGGCTTTGGCCTGGCTCACTAATTTTACCAACTTTACCAACTCCACGAGGATTGTTTTCACCCCCCCCTCACCCCTTTCTGGTTTCTCACAGCCGGACTTGTTGCTACTGAATGTTCCACAGGACGGCTCTGCGTGATTCCCCCGCCGCGCAGACCTGGCCCAGTACACTCTCAAGGGCCCACCTTGATGAAGGGGTGTGGAGCCCCGAGAGGTGGTATGCAGCAGTAATTAGTGGGAAAAAACCCAAATTGGTTAGGTTTTTAGTGGGGTGTTTTGATAAATTTTTAGGGGGTATGGGGGGGGGGTTAGGGTGGGTAGGCCAACCCATGCCTTGTCTGGGGGACGCGGCACTAAAGTGATCAGGGGGGAGGTTGGGGGACCAGGGGAGGGT